CCCCCACCGTTTAATGTCGATCGGTATCTTCGCATATTCGCACTCTAATGTTTGCACATGTTTTGTACAAGGTTGGGAAGGTTACTCTTTAAAAGTAACTCATTATGTTACTCGTTGAAAGAAAAGGGTAACTCATTACTGTTGCTCATTTTGAAAGATAACTTTAAAAAATAACTCTCAAAGAGAAGTTGGAAAATTCGCCGTTATATTATTATTCAATAAATAAGGAGTTGTTATAATTTTCTTTATTAAATTTTTAAGGCCTCTACAATTTATCGCTACCTATGCCATGTATATGCATTTTACTGTATGAAATGTAATAAAAATAACGATTGTATTTGTTATCAAAAAATGTCACCTAAAAATGTAATTACGTGGCCGTTAACGTTACTAACAAAAAAAAAGAAAAAAATAACGCCGTGTTGTTACTAAAAAAAAATAGTGATAACGGCAAATAACGTATTACTTCCCAACCATGGTTTTATATACAGAGTGTTCCACAAGTCGTAGCACCAACAATTTTCGAAATGATACAAGTGATCGAAAAATGAGCTTTTTCACGAGCCAAGCTTCGAACGACCAATCATGCATCGCAAAGTTGCTTGTGTCATTTCAACGAAATTTTAATTTCAGGCTTAAGGCTCCTGGATACTCACTTTGGCTGTCCTCTAATGACGTTAGAAACGAAGAAGAGAATCATACCAATTTATGTGACGGTATATGTGGAAATAAAAAAATATACACACAAAATAACACTCATGGTCGATTCGGCACATCTGTAAAAATGTCCGGATGTTTTCTTTTAATTTGAACAATTAATAAATAGACGTAAGTTGGTGTAACACGCAACTTACGTTTTTAACCTATCTTTCCTCATGATTTCAATTACGTTTCAGTTACGTTAATTTCACGAGTTAATTTTATTCATAAGTACCGTCACATAAATTGGCATAATTTTCCTCGCTTCTGACGTCATTAAAGAAGGACAGCCAAAGTGAGTATCCAGGAGCCTTAATATATACAAAGATATGTCACGTTGAATATTAAAAATTCGCCATAATAAACAATGATTTTCCTTGACATTGTCGCGAAGGAAAAATTAAAGTTAGGTGATCAGAGCACCCAGTGAAATTTATGTCGCAAATTCTGAGACACTCTATATCCAATGAATCTGTGTACAAGCTGAATCTGACTTCGAACGTCGAAGATAGCTCCGAGTTATTCGCATGATCGATTTCATTGGTGTTACAGTAAAAAGAGCAACAATATGGTGGACGCGGCTGTTTTGGACAAACTGGAGTCCGGCTATGCCAAGTTGGCGGCCTCCGACAGCAAGTCGCTGCTGAAGAAACACCTGTCGAAGGAGGTGTTCGATCAGCTGAAGACGCGCAAGACGTCGTTTGGCTCCACGCTACTCGACGTCATCCAGTCCGGCCTGGAGAACCATGATTCCGGCGTGGGCATCTACGCGCCCGATGCCGAGGCTTACACCGTGTTCGCCGAGATCTTCGATCCGATCATCGACGACTACCACGGCGGCTTCAAGAAGACCGACAAGCATCCGCCCAAGGACTTCGGTGACGTCGACTCCTTCGGCAATCTCGATCCTACTGTAAGTATCAACCTTTTTTCCTCGATCGTCGCGTCCTTGAGCGCTCTTAAGACCTGGATTTACTGATAGGTATAGTCGAAATCCTTCGGCTCTCAGCGCTAAAAGCGTAGCGTAATTTCTAGCAAAAAGCGTCCTCACCGGACGTCGCAATTCCTAAGATTTAAGACTCCTGTAGGAATATTCTGCGACTTTTAACGACAGTGCAATTATCGTAACACGTTGTCGTTGTATAGTATGTCGCGAGTATAATATATGGTAGGAAAACTGCGTTTCGACAATGCGTAATAGTAACGATACTGTCGTTAAAAGTTCTGTCAAGAATGGCATACTATTTTCTCATTGCAGTCGTGTCTTACTTAATGATAGAAACAAAGAAATACAGGCCCAAAATTCTTGTGAAATACGTTGAGTTATAAGAATATAAAGTTATAAGTTATAAGAATATGCCCATAAAATAATATTTGATCGATTATGCATATCTGTAAAATATTCCAAAAACTTTTCCCTTTGCTCAAATAACTAATAAAAACTCGTAAAATTAACGTTACATGTGACCTTTTTTCTCTCTTTTTTTGTCAGGTCAATTTTACAACTAATTTATTGATTTGCTAAGGTAAAATGAAAGTTATCGGAATATTCTATAAACATGCTCAATCGATCACAACTATCTTTTTATGGGCGTATCCTTTGTAGATCTGGGCTAAGAGTTGCTAAGTCAATTTCGCGAAACGAAACTATTATTTACGAGCTTTAGTCACTTAATTTCTTCGGCATTACCGTTAATAGCCATCTTACCTTGTGTGTGATTCCAGATGTAAATTATTTCATGTAATCTATTATATTTTAGTAAAATCTAATAACAGTGTTTAGCTATTACCTTGCCCTTTCCAGATATATTCTCTTGAAATTGTAAGTTATTGTAAACGCCACTCTCGATTATATATTGCTTTCTATACTTTACAAACATTATTATCATCGTCATTATATCATCATTATATAGGTAAGACCATAATAGTAGTTTCAATGTTCTTCGAGAAATAAAAGTCTTATTAATGACTAAATGAAAAGATGAGAAAAGGTTTACAGAAGGTGAAGTTTTGAAATGATGGCCATTGATATCAATGCGATCTCTATTAGATAAATTTTTTTTCTCATTCTCATATTTCCAAGTTATTCCAAGTGGCAATGACATAATTATTGCCTCACTCCGTATATTTTATTTCATCCATATCTACTTATTACACGTCCGATAAAATTATTATTATCATCATAATCATCATGAAAAAAATCAATCGCAACAAAAAACATTATTATTATACTTTAGATTTTTATATGACAATATTAATTATTATTATACTTCAAATTATGTTGTATGCGTGTGATAATCTTAATTAAGAAATTTAATTATATTATCATCAGATCGCATTGTTATCATCGTTGTTATAATTAATTGATTCCATATCACAGGGTGAATACATCGTGTCGACTCGTGTGAGGTGCGGCCGTTCTCTGGACGGATATCCGTTCAACCCGTGCTTGACCGAGGCGCAATACAAGGAGATGGAGGAGAAGGTGTCCAGCACGCTGTCCGGCCTGACCGGCGAGCTGAAGGGCACCTTCTACCCGCTCACCGGCATGAGCAAGGAGGTGCAGCAGAAGTTGATCGACGATCACTTCCTCTTCAAGGAGGGCGATCGTTTCCTGCAGACCGCCAACGCCTGCCGCTTCTGGCCGACCGGACGCGGTATTTTCCATAATGACGATAAGACCTTCTTGGTATGGTGCAACGAGGAGGATCATCTCCGTATCATCTCCATGCAGATGGGCGGTGACCTCGGTCAGGTGAGAATACCTCCTTTAATCTCGCCTTAATCTCGGGTTTAATTAACTTAGGTTCCCTGATGCCTCGTAACGGTCGTCCCACAGATTGTGATTGTAACGCCAGAAGTATGAAAATTCCGAGGTACACGTTCACAATTCTAGCAAAGCACGTTGAAAATGAAACGAACGTGCCCATAAAGTAACACTTGCGATCGATTGAGCAGATTTGTAAAATATTCGAAAATTAAATTATTGACGTCAAATTATCAAGTTATTAATGTACTGTATTTAGCCTTTTAACTACGTGATTTTGCCTTGTTAATTATTTCATTGCTGTTTAATGCAAAGGCCAAATTTCCCGATATTTTATTCATTTATTTAACCCTTTGCACTCGAGGGCGCCGGAGCGGAGCCATTTAAAATTTGTCTTCAAACTTTTCAAACTCAAATGCAAATAGCAAGAGCGGAATATCCTATACACAATAGTTTTTACGATTTGTCTTTGTCCTTATGTTATGAACTGAAATTATTTGCATTGTCTCCATAGCGGAACCCTCGAGTGCAAAGGGTTAATATTGTTTTTTTACAAATTTCTCTGTCTAATTGCAAGTATCACGTTATGGATATATCTTCTTATTTCAATTGACTTTGCGAAATGTCTCTGTTGTTTTCCCCCTTTTAATCATAATCTAAAGATGCGATTCATTAACATTCGAAGCATTTTATCTATGTAACGTCATTAAGTCTTATCTTTATAATTTGCTATTTTTTGTATTATAATTTTCGTTTCATTTCTTTCTGTAAAAATTCTTTGTATCAGATTTTCAGATCATTTTATTAGATTGTATGATATCAGATTGAAATCTATATATTGTAACAAAAAGTAGGCATTTTTCCATAAATAAGTAAATTAAAGCTCCAGGCCCGTCGTTGCAGTCGTTTTGTTTGATAACGTCCGAAGCGAGAAAACGCGGGCCCAAAATGCTTGCGAGATACGTCGAGATAAAAGGATCTGCCCGTAAAAATGACACATTTGTGATCGATTCACAGCACATTTGTAAAATATTATTCCGAAACCTTTCCTTTTGCTCTGACAATCAATAAGTAACCGTCAAATTAACATGACATGCCATTCTTTTAAGAATATCTTTCAAATGTGCTCGATTAATCACAAGTATCATCGCATAGGCATATCATTTTATACCGTTTGTTACGTATTACGCAAGAATTTTATATACGGCGTTTCCTCGCTCTTCGTCATTAATCAAGATGATTGCGGCGAGGAGGAAACAAAGACCTTAAAACCCATCTGTAAAAGAAATGGGAGCCTATGTAGCGTCTAGCGAACTGCACCCTCTGAGATGTTCGTCACGAGGAAACAAGGGAACCTTCCTTATAACCTTCCGTGAAGGATCGATCGATCGATCATTCATTGATTGCCCGCTGCAACAGGTATACCGTCGCCTGGTGACCGCCGTGAACGAGATCGAGAAGCGGCTGCCGTTCTCGCACAACGACCGCTACGGCTTCCTCACGTTCTGCCCGACGAACTTGGGCACGACGGTGCGCGCGTCCGTGCACATCAAGGTGCCGAAGCTCGCCGCCAACAAGGCCAAGCTCGAGGAGGTCGCTGCCAAATACAATCTCCAGGTGCGCGGCACCCGCGGCGAGCACACCGAGGCCGAGGGCGGCATCTACGACATCTCCAACAAGCGGCGCCTCGGTCTCACCGAGTACCAGGCTGTGAAAGAGATGAACGACGGCATTGCCGAACTCATCAAGCTCGAGGCCAGCCTCTAAACTTTACCCACCGTGTCGCCCCGTCACCCTCCCCCTCCCCACCAAGCTCCCCGCCTCCCTTGAAAACGTCCTCTGCTCCTTCGCTCCCCCGACACGTGTATTATTATTACTACTATTCGTTTCCTAAAAACAAAAGAAGAAAAACGAAAAGTCATTAAGTCCGGTCGTCTCGGGCGTCACACGTATGTATGTGTGTGTGTGTTGTGTACACGTGACGTCACGTTCGAAACACGCGTCCTCCCTAGAACCGCGCGAGAGCAACACCGAAGAGGACCGTAGGCGTTCTTTAGGCGCGAGAGAGCAGCTTGTTGTTATTATTATTATCATATCCATTGTGTATTCGACGAGTATTCTCCCCCCACTTTTTTTCGTTTTACTTTCGTTCCACCGTTCTTCTTTTCATTTTTGTTCTCGTTTTTTGATTCTTTTTTCCTTTTCTTTTTTTCGTTCGGTAATTCTCTCAAACACGTACGTTCTCGCGCGTACGGACACGAGCAGATTCGCGCGGGTTTCTTCGCTCCGTGGATTCCTCTCTCTCTCTCTTTTTTTTCCGGTTCAGTTTCTCCTTTCTCCCTTCTTGCGTCGCTATTCGTTAGTCGTAAACAGAAGAAGAAGGTAGTCATGCGTTTTACACACGTAGCGATCAGCTCTAGCGCTAGCCTCCACGAAATTCGTCGTGCTTGTCTATTTAGAGCGAGATTACTAAGAGGTTATACGTAGGCAGGTCGTTGCTCGGGTGGTTCATTCGCAGTGACAACGACGACGACGACGACTACTATCACCACCACCACCGCCATCACGATGACAACGACGAAGAAAAGAAGAAGAAACGAAGACAACGGTCGTTGATCACGAGAGAGAGAGAAGAATGCAAGGCGGCGATTGAGCGAGGTCTCCGCAGTTGGCGACCTTTTTGCGGGACCGCAGGGTCGAGAAAGAAAGAGAAAGAGAGCGCGTAATTTTTTCGGCGCTCTAAACGACGCCTTTTCTAGTACGAGGCGAGAACGGTGTGCGGACAGCGACGATTCAGCGTTTTTTCATTCTCTTTTTTACCGTGTGACGAGAGGCCGTGAGAGAGGAGGAACATCTGCGACGGATATTATACGACGCGCACCACTACTACTACTATTACTATTACTACTACTAACTACTATTACATACACGCAGAAAAAAAAAAGCGTTCTAAGGCAGAGCTTAAGAACCGTGACGACATATTAGAGACAGTGTGTACCACAGCCGACTCGACAAACCAGATGTACGAGAAAATACAAGTATCGAGACACGAATAAAAAGACATACACACATTATGTATATCGTTGACTCCCTGTAATTTTTTCTCCGTCCTTCCTCCCGATTTTCGCGTCGAGGATCGTTTCGCTCGAATTCTCGCGTTCCGGAGGGTGCTCGTGATTCGAATCTTTCGCAAGATTCGAATATTTCATTTATAATCGATGACGTCAGATGGAATGGGGAGAAATTAGTATATACCAGACTTCTTAAAGCAAGGAAGCCCACGACTGAAAGAAACGGATGAACGAATGAGAGCCGTTGGAAACGCCGATGGTTTTGTAAAGAATCATTCATTCTGAGCGCACATATGCGCCCACAACGCTCGAGGAGTTAAGAATTCGCGCACACGTGTCGCTTTTTTCGCACAGAGGTTCACAAATGCCTGGTCGCTCCTCAGATTGCAAGACATACAACTTTTGACCTTTATAGCTTGCATAGCTGTGTCCCGAAATCGTAGTCGAGTAGAATAGCTTTTAATTAACCATCCAGTAAGCAAGAAATCATTAACGTTATTACAATGATATTTTACAACATAACATTTTCAAATATGTAGTTCTTAATGTGGTACACAACATCGTTGTTAATAATATTTATAACCCAAACATTAAAAATAATATATGATTTTAATATTTAGGAATATTATAATATCAAGTAATAGTTTAAGAACATTTGTAAAATGTTTATAAAATCAATATTTCAAAAGATTGATTTAATGTTTATCGGGCAAAAAACTTGATAAAGATCGTTGCTTTTTTCATTCTAGTTGGTCAATTAAATGCTACTATATTCGATCGACTACAGTTTCAGAACGTAATCTATGTACTGTATGCAGTACAAGGTTGACAGTCATACGAGTAACTTTGATAGTAATGGCCAAGTATGACACAGGATGTATGATTTCCAATTTTACACATAAGTATAAAGTTGAAAATCGATTTAGGGAATGAATTGGTCTGTTCTTTTTAGCTGAGCTGGCTGCATTAGTCCAAAAAATGTATGCATTGAAACGTATGAAATGTACGTACGAAATTCTCATGCTTCAGTGTGCGTAAATTTCCTGAACTGTGCAGCCAGTTCAGCTAAAAAACGGACCATATGCATTTATAGGTCTGTCCTTTTTCGTCGAACTGGTGTAAATTACTAGAACTTAAAAAGAAACAAACATATAGTAAAGACTTGATGGAAGAAAAAAGAAGAGAACCATGGTCTGTTCCTTTTAGCTGAACTGGTTGCACTAGTTTAAGAAATTTACACACGTACTGAAACGCGAGAATCAGGTACATACGCTTCATATGTTTCAATATGTATGTGAATTTCTTTAAAGCTAAAAAGACCGCTTATGACTTCTTTGTATTGTTTTTTTTTGGCTGAACTGGCTATACTAGTTCGAGAAATGTACGCACACTGAAGCGTGAGAATCTCGTGCGTTTTACACGCTTCAATGTGTATGTAAATTTCTTGAACCAGTTTGGTTAAAAAGAACAGACCGATTGCGTCACATTCTGCGTTACGTCACATTCTACGTGCAACAATCGTGTGTATAGTCGGCGTCACGTATGCTGTACTTATTTCTATTAGGTTGAAACTTTTTCTATATGATTTTTAACTTTTCACATGTACACACATAAGGTTCAAACTATTTAAAATTAGAGCCATTATAATCCTATCATAGTAATTAGAGTTACTTGTGCGACTTTCAACCTTATGCGTTATGTAAGGCTGAAAATCATGTAATTCTCCGCCTACAGAATGGAATAACCCACATGACGCCGACTGTACAGTTTTCGCAAGTTTGACATGTCAATGTCTTGTCTGATAGTTAAGGCTCTTGGTCCTTCGCTGCAATTATTTTGTTTGATAACCTCAGAATCGAGAAAACATGCTCAAAATTCTCGTGAAATACATTAAAATATAAAGATATAAAATATAAAAGGACGTATTGTCATTGATTGAGTAAATTTGTAAAATATTCCTGAGACCTTTTGCTCTAGTAGCCAATAAATAACCATCAAATTAACATGACACGCAATCTTCTTTTTTAGCTAATTTTCATTTCATGATTTTGCCATATTAATTTTACGGCTATTTATTGATTTTTAAAGTAAAAGGAATGTTTTCGGGATATTTTACAAATGCGCTTTCAATCAAATATCATTATGTATATGCCATTTCATGAACATTTATTTCTTTTTATTTCAACATATTCCGCAAAAATTTCGAACATACGATTTTTGCTTCCGACGTCATTAATCAAGGTGGTTGTAGCGAAGAAAACAGCAGGCCTTAAAAAGAGAAAAGTAAAAATTCGCCAAAATATATTTCGTAAAATATATATCTCGCAAAACACAGGTACATAGATGCACACATATTAAAATATACAATACTCTTGGGGGAAGTGTATATTGTGCCTTTATATTATTTAGTAACTGTTATGTTTTCCACATTCGGAAGACAGCTTAGATATACGGTAAGGTAATAAAAATAACGCAATATATGAGCGTTAAATATATATATATATATATATATATATATATAGCAAAGTCGTAGCGATTTTTTTCATCATAGATCGCAAATTAAGTAGCAATTTAGGTTTAGACGGGTAATAAACGACTTTCAAGCGATATAGAGAGCTTCGCAAGACCGAACTTCCCAAATACAAAAGTAATCCTGATTATTACCGTAAACTCCGCGCTGGTTACTGTTATATAAATATATTAGAAAATAATAAAAGTAGTTAACAATAATATGTGTAAGTGTATAGAGAGAGAGAGAGAGAGAGAGAGAGAGAGAGAGAGAGTGTGTGGGTGTGCGTGTGTGTGTGTGGAAAATATTAACATTCGGAAAGTATATTCGGAAATCTTAATTATATCATTGGTTAATCTTATTAATTAAAGATTAGTAAGATTCTTTGTTGAGTATGCCCGTTGTACAGTTAATCGCATGGCGTATTTAATTATATCATTTTTTAAACGCTTAAAGAGACGCCTAAAGCGCCTGGCTGAAAGGCATTTAAAGCTCTTGAGTGTCCTTTGGGATACCCGACGAATCGCATGCACAAACTTCGACAATGACTGTAAGCTAATATTATTAATTAACTGCGATTCTCAAAGTACATGAAGTCCTGGAAGAAAAAGAAGAAATTCGAATATCAAAGATTGTTAGAAAATTATCAGTTGATTAGTTCAAGAGATTCGAATATTTCAGGTCCTCGATTAAGAGGCCCCTTGCAACAGTCGTCTTATTCGATGACGTGTTAGAAACAAAGGAAACGCGTGTTCAAAATTCTTGCGAATAAAATGATGTGATCGAGCACATTCGTGAAATAATCCGCAAATTTTCCTTTTGCTTCTTAACAATCAATAAACTAACGTGACACGCAACTTTCCCTTTTTGTTAATTTTTTTCTCATAATTTTGTCACATCATCTTAATAGCTGTTTTATTAATTGTTGAAGTAAAAGGAAAATTTTCGGAATATTTTACGAATGTGCTCATAATCGGCCACAGAAATCATTTTTTCAGGACATACCTTTTATCTCGAAGTAAGAATTTTGGGCATATGTTTTTTCGCTTCTAACGTCATTAATCAAAATGACCGCAAGCAAGGGAACTGAAACTTCGATAATCACGACAAGACACTTACCAATAAAAGGCACGCTCCTAATAACACGGCTTTTATCTTGACGTCGAGGTCCCGCGGAAATTGCACACCAAACCGATCGGCGTCAGTGAACAACTCTCGGCTGAAGCCGCCCCAATTCTTCTGAATTACGCCGACATTCTGTTTCTCATCCAAAGATTTCACCTACAAAACATCCAACGAATGATTGACTCGAACTACTTTAATCGTCTATAATCCGATTTTCTTTTTGCTTCTAAAAAACGACAACGGAAAATGTGGGACATAAATAACCATAAAAAACAAATTTTAATTCGTAAATAATTTGTTATATAACAATACGTATTCTGACATAGAAATAGGAATCAATAACTGTTATAAATCGATTGTGTTCGATGATTATATTATTGCCTTAAAGTCACAGCGATACACAACGCGGTGATCAAATTAAGTCAGACCTTAAGGCTCTTGGATACTCACTTTGGCTGTCCTTTGGTGACGTCAGAAGCGAAGAAAACCATGCCAATTTATGTGATGATATTCGCCAGATTTGGCTTCGTCCGACTATTTTTTATTCCCGAACTTAAAAAAGTTACTCGGTTATAAGAAATTTCGAATTACGAAGGCGTTACCGTAGTAAACGAGTATTTTGAGGAGCCCGACAATTCACATTGCAAGACCGCCGGTTTGCTTGTTTTGGAACATCGTCTTGTAAAAATGTATTGAAGTCAAGGAGGACTATATTAAGAAGTAAAGTAATAATTTTGAAAAAACAAATTTTCTGTCGTAGGCCAATAACTTTTCAACCCGCTCTCGTATAAACGTCCATCATTAGTCGACGACGTCATAGGCTAAAAATGACTAAAAATGGACGTCAATGTGACGTCTTCTGACGTCACTCTCCTACTTGGGACACGTATACGTAAAGTCGAAATTGTTATAATTAGAACCATTATAACTTTACTACACATTACATCTAGAATTATTTCGGCGATTTTCATTTTATGCGTTGTGTAACGTTGTGAAAATCGTGTAACTCTTCGTCTAAGGACAGCATGACGTTGAGTGTACGAAGTGTTAGGAAGTTACAAGATTACGAGAAAAGAAAAACCAATGCGTTAGAGCAAATAGTGAAATTCTACAGTTTCCGAGGTGTTTTGCGAAATACCTTGAAAACTACTTCGATGCAGAAACGAATGATCGGCCCTTTTATTATCAGCACGGGATTGCCGGTCGCGTCTCGGACGGTGAACGTTGGCCGCCACAAACTCCACTCTTGAGTAACGGTGCCGAGCAGTAAATTGCCGCTATATATTTCCATAATCTGCAAACAGTATCCACGGTAATTCATCACTGATCAAAAATCGCAAAAACACGTTCACTCGGACTGCAGTTTTCAGGTCTGCAAAGGGAAAGTTGCACGTCAGTCAACCAAATCGTACCTCGTAACGAAACTTTAACGAATTGCATTGTTTTCCGTGTGATATAAACATTTTAACAATGTTTCAAGCAATACGACTTTGGCAACTCTCCTCAAATCTGTAATTTTTAATGCATGCGTTATAACTGTAACACATTTATGCCGTCAAACATCATCCTTCCGCAGTGAAACATTTAACATGAATATCTTGTGGCCAAATTCAAATTAGCGTTCTATGATTTGATGCGTAAGAGCCATTTAATTAAGATTATATATTTATTTCGCTATGTAAATAATAAATGTTAATATAAAACGAAGCTGAGATATATATATATATACAGTATTACAAATACGAAAGTATTTCTTATTTTTCTAATTAATGTTTTATTTATGCGATAGTTAATCTAATAGAGATGCACAAATATAATAGATAATTATATAAAGTGTTAAGTGTTAATTGTATTAAGTGTTTAAATACGTTTACATGTACATGTATTTTGTGTATTACTATACATATACATATTATGAACTTATCACTGTGTATTTTCAAAGCAAAGTAGTCAATAATTTTGAAATGTTGATATAACGCCGCGTATATTATAGTATTTAGTATCATAGTAGAGGTTTTCATTAAAATCTCACACGTAATTTAGAAGCTCTGAAAAGTAGAAATAAAAAATAATACATTAACGTCAAGGAACACGAGACAATACGTTGCAACTATCTCAGCTCTCGAGTGGGCAATCTTTTTTTTAATTGCACGTGCAATTAGATTACGGCCGCATTCGGCGGAAAGAGCAACTCAGAAAGCGCTTACTGATTATCACTCCTGATTGGTTTATACTCCCAGATCTGCCAAGAATCTAAAAGAACGCTCGATTCACAAACAATAATCACTAAGCGCTCTTTCCGTCGAATGCGGCCGATATGACTTGATGTACACGTAGTGCAGGTTTCAATAAATTTCCACGAAACTCATTTCGTGATACAACTATCTTAATGATAACGATATTATCGTAAAAAACTCGATTGGTGGTTAGCAACAATTTCTCCGAGAAGAACGATCGATTGTCGTGACGTACTATTTATGCGATAACTGCTACTTTTACATTTATAGCATAGAATCGACGTAACTTTTCTTCGGAACGGATCGATCGCAGCTTCCCATATCGTGGGCGAATTTTCATCAAAGGTAAAGCTGACAGATGGTGCGCACGTGTGAAGAAACTTTGGCGAAGCGTGCGTCATACAGATCCGCGGTTCTCATTTCAAAAAATTTCACATTCGATTCGCTTCTCACCGTAAACATAATCTCAACTCTTCTAATGTTATATCTTTCTCGTCGCCCATGCGCCCACCACCTCGGGATTTCATTTCTTAATCTAACTTGGGAAACAGTTTTTGGCCGAGAGTAAAACAACTGCGCTCAGCTGCGTGTTGTTTTCGCTTCTCGGCTGAGAAATGCGCTTTCTAAGTTTCTTGGAGTAAAATTTCACTCAGAATATAGAACGACCACCGAGTCACTCAGACCAAGTGATTTTTTTTTTACTCGTATAGAGCGTACGTCTTTCTCGTCTTCTGACATTACCGAACAAGACGAGTGCAGCAAGAGATTGGGAGCTTTAAATTTCCAAAATCTGCAAGTGAAGACGAGAAGACGAGAAGCAAGAACACGCATGTCCATAAAATGACACTTGCGATCGATTGAACACATTTAATAAAATATTCCGAAAACTTTTCTTTTGATTGAACAATCAGTAATAATCATAAAATTAATATAACATGCAACCTATCTTCTTTTTAGCCTATTTTTTCTCACGATTTCATTACGTTAATTTTACAAATGCGCTCAATCGATCGCAAGTATAATCTTATGAATTCAGTCTCTTACTTCAATATATTTTGCAAAATTTTTTGGCATACTTTTTCTCGTTCCTGATTTCGTCATCAATCGAGACGACTGCGGCGAGGAAATAGGAGAGCGTTAAAGAAAATTGTCAGACGTTCCGATTCGTCAAGAAATGCGAGGCGACGATCGAAGAGGGAGAAAGAAAGAGCCCCAGTTTCTAAAGACATCCCCGCGACAACAATGGTAAGCCCGTCGACAACTACCTGTAAGCAGCAAGGGCAACAGCAACTGTCACATCTGAAGGGTCGACTCATGCGAAGGACTTCCCGTCCGTTCAAATCGACCACGGAGAAGTCGCAGGGACGGGCTGAGCCCAGGCACAGTCGCGAGCAGACGTCCGATTCCTCGGCCGCGTAAAACACCGGCTTTCCCGTCACGTCCATAATAGCGTATCGGTTTTTGGTTTCAAATCCAGTGAAAACTGAGAGCAGAGCAAAGCAGAGACGTTGTGATTAAAAACGAGTAAAATGAATTTCAGGATTGAGAAGTAACGCATTACTTGTAATAATTGCCTTTCTTTAATGTTATCAGTTACTTTTTTCAGTACTTTTATCAGACCTGACCTGTTATTCTTCGTCACGATAACGGGAAAATAATTATTTTTAATGTTATGATAATGAATGTTATTTTTTAATTATTTTTAATGTTACGACAATAAATGTAATTCTTATCTTATCATCTTCTTCTTATCATCAATACTTTGTACATGTAGATACATCATGATGGAATAGATATAGTGACAAAATGAAAAAAGGTTTCAGGACTTTGCGAGAAAAGTAACAGGAATTGTAACAAGTCGTTACTTTTTATATATGACGATAACGCATTATTTTATTTCATTTCTAAAAGCCATTATATATTTAAAAATAGATGAGTTATTTTTTTAATAACGGCTTAATGAGATGACGTTAATTTTTCTCCATTAGTTATGATGATGGTAACGCGATTTTATTTTTAGTGTAACGGTAATAAATATAATCGTTACATATCTTTTTATTACTTCATATATATAGAATATTTACCTATATAAGTTAGGTGATAGAAAAAAAAGACTTTATAACTTTATGAAAAAGTAAAGGAAATCGTAACGACTCATTAATTCTTGAATAACGATAATGGATTATTGTAATTATTATTACTTCAAAATAAATATTATATATATTTCAAAATATGGTCGACGGTTATTTTTCTTAGTGACGACGTTGTATTTCTTCATCAGCAACAATAATGGGAATGCAGTTATATTTTGTATGCAACAGTAACACATACATAATCGTTATTTATCGTTACTCTGCACATGCGGAATACATCTACATGGATAGTAGCGAGTTGGAAGGAAAAAGTAAAAGCTTTACAAACTTGGTGGAAAAAGTAACAGGAATCGTAAACGACTCGTTACTTCTTGAGCAACGATAATGCGCTGTCTAACGAATTGTTTTAATCATCAATATATCGAAATGAATATCGGAGGAAATGAGGGAAAAAATAACAGTAACAAGTAATTTTTCGAATCTTTCCCGACGCATAATAATAATGAAATTACATTCTCCGGTAAACATTTAGCTTGTTCTTTTTAGCTGCACTGCTGAACTGGTGCAATAAGTTGAAATGAGAAAACATATACTTGTCTCACTTCAACTTATTGCACCAGTTCAGCAGTGCAGCTAAAAAGAACAGGCTAATTGTATTGTTGCGCACAACAAGCGCATTCGTTATATCGAGTTGTAATAACTTCGCCGCATAGCACACATTGCGTTAAACAAGAGAACGGGCTATTGTATAGCATAAATATAAGATTATATCATTATCGTACGAAGCAAACACGATGTTTTTCAGAGAGAAAGAGAAAGAGAGAAAGATAGAGAGAGAAGAATTGTAAATCACTCTTGTGCGCTACTACTACTACTACTACTACTGCTATCACCATCACCATCACATACGTACTAATGTGAGCGTAAAAAGAAGAGTGTTTTATTTTTGTCCTGGTACTTCAGAGCCCGAGACAAAGCTCACCTTCCAGCAGCTCGACTTTCTGGTTCACGAAAAGATAATCAAGGCCCATAAGGTATTCCAAGCCTGACGGATATATCGTATTCGGCGGAGACCAACCACCTGAAACACCGGAGAGCGGAGCTCGATAAGCGTCGTTAATAACAGATATCGTCGACAAACTCATCGCAGACATCCGTTTTCTCTGAATAAATCTGTAAATATGGATCGTGAGGGAAACGCGCTGTTTTTCCTCCGACGAGCAACAATCGACTAATGAGGGAAAGCCGTCCAACTTTTATCTTGTTAGAAGTATCACGTATCTTACGTTTGCATATCGTTCGCATCGCAACTGCATTGATAAAAGGATTCACGGAGATATCGTATCAAGTGTCATATCTAATGATCTATTGATATCTCCGGTAACAAGAATTTTCCAACGCGTCACATACTCGTTTTCGCCGAAGAAATAATTTTATGAAATTTTTATATAATTAATATTTTGAAATAATTTTTAATTATATCCATTATTACAAAGAATTGTCGTGAATTTATGTTGTAAAGTTAAGTGAATTTATCATAAATTTATATGGTGGACATGCATTGTTTTGAAAAATCAAAATTACGAAATTTGAAGAGAGAGAATTTTTTTGAAAAGTCGCAATTCTGAAATAGAGATATCGAGGTATGCCTAAATACAAATGTTTCAAAATATTGGAAGCACACAGTATTAATCTACATTTTATAATATGAAAATGTTTATAACTCAAATCAGTACAGCAGTATACCGGAAATAATTTTTCTAAAATAATAACAATAATAATAATAACAATAATTTCTTGACACTATTTTGTCTTAATGACTTCGATATTGTGAATTTTCAGAGCAATCATATATTTTCAAAATTTCAGGAAAGTTATATCTCGAAAGATTGTCTTAATAACTAATTTCGAGAATATGACCTTTCCATAAATCGTCCCACTTTACAAATGTCGTTATAGTTTTCTTTGGAACAATGCATATTCACTTGAAATATCATACATCATTTTCACGTATCTTCGTTTGTATCGATGTAACGTTGTTTTTATCGCAAAATTTCGAAACAACATATAAACAGTAACAGGAAACTCCATGTACACGGAAAAAATTAGTCTTAAATCAAGAATATATATTCTCATGTATAAACGAGAATATCTATTCTTGATTTAATATTTTTTCTATGTATGAGCACAATTTTTATACAATTATCACGTCGAATCAATGTCACATTATACATATACAGAGTGTTACATAACATATTGTACAAACTTATAAAGTAAAAAATTGTGTAAAACGGTTACTCAAATTTTTATGTTATTTAATAAGGTGAATATGTTAATTTAATATATTTGTGTATTTTTTTATATATTTCCTAAAAAGTAACAACATCTTTAAATGGACC